AAAAAAAAAAAAAAAAAAAGCAATCCACAATTAAATGTGCCAATAACCATAGACATTTTTTTTTCTGTACCGGTCTTAGTTACTTTGCTTGTACAAAGGATAAATTATTCTTATGTCAAAAGATAATTATGATACAGATCAGTATTATGCTATTGCATTTCAGGTAATTGAGCTAGCTTAGGGAAAACCTGCAGTTTGTAATAGAACTGACGATAGATACACACACATACACACACACATACATACATACATACACACACACACACGCACCCTCTGACACTTTAATGGCTGTAAGAACTGTGAATTTTCATTATCTACCTTTTTATATGCATATATAAATATATATAAATATATATATACATGAGATTTGTAAACACATGGAAACTAGATGTGCGTCTTGTGTATTCACCTAACAGTTATGAAACCTCTCACTATTGTATGCAGTGTCGCCGTGCTGTCAACATTCACTTTGATTTTAAAACAGTGATCAAGACATTTGAAACCTTTTTATAGCAGAGAATGTATTTTCAGACTTTTTTAGCAGTTTTTTCATTCTTTTTTCCAAGTTGTCTTATTTTTAATTGGCAAGATCTACTGAATGGAGATTTCACTCTAAGTTTATTCCACGTTTCGACTCTGCAGTGCCTCCGGGTCATCCATTGAAAATTGAGCCCAAAGGTTTTTGTTTTTTTTAACAATTGTGTTGTTTTAAAACTAGTGCAGAAGAAAAACGGGTGATGCTGCCCATAGCAACTAGATCAGCTATCTGCTTCATAGACCTGCCATTAGATTATACTTGCCTCAGCTTGTAGTAGAAATGAATCATAGGTACCTAGATGTGCCTGTACACACCTTCAACTTACTTCCAATGCCAGCCTCCGAAATTGTAGAAATTAATTAATGCATATCTCAACTCGAACTGCTGAATTTGTACTATGCCCCACCTTTTTTGTCTCCAACACTTCTTTATCGGTCGGCGTCCTCATAGACCAATAGAGGGGCAAAAAGGTTTGGAGAGGGAATGGCTGGAGTTCAAGATTTACTTAAATGAAGGATGTCAGAATTCCTGAACAGGTGTTCAGGAAAAATCTCTGCAAGTATGTTATTTACACTACTAATTCATAGATTATAGACTAATGACAGGTTTTCTATAATTATCTCAAGTTTGCCATATATGGGGAGATCAGATCAGTCTCCCAAGCAATTCGCTCCTTTATCCATTCTGCATGTCCACTATCTAGCACGTCTGGCAGAGTCTAAAACCAACTGGAAATACTTTTCCAACCTGCCAAATCTCCTGGATGACATCAGCAGTCTCCTTGTACTATGGCTATGTGCAAGCACAGTGTCTAATTTTCTCAGAAATTATTATTATACAGGATTTATATAGCGCCAACAGTTTGCGCAGCGCTTTACAATATAAGGAAGACATTACAATCACAATACAATTCAAGACAAGATGGTAAGGAGGGCCCTGCCCGTGAGGGCTTACAATCTAAAAGAAATCCAAAATAGACTGTTTTTTCCCACAACCTCTGTACATCTATGATCGGCAACACCTCCAGTTTCTTCAGCACTTGCGTTTATAACAAAATACTTTTTGCTTTTCCAAGATTAAATTATATTTAATTTTCCTTAATGTCATATTTCCCAAGAGATAAAAGTAAAAAAAAAACAACAAATACATAGAGCTACTTTTTCATTATAAACGGCAAGGCTTAATAATCAATTTGATGAATTTCTACTCTGTACCCTACCCAGTCTCATGATACCAGCAAAACAGCAACATGAAGATTTGTGTGTCTTCAAGAAGTCCGACTACGAGACAGAATTAAGCCTTGTTTCTGAATATGTCTGTATTTAATGTATAGTGTTGTACATGCATCATTACCGGGTTTTGTTTTCTTCTTTTCTATCTGTAACAAAGTATACATGGTTCAATTGTATGTCCATACCCTTCCCAAATTTATAGAGGAGTTAGCAACATACAACAAATATGTATGCTACTGCTCTACCAATAAACATTTAATACACATGGAACAGTTTGTGTCTACGTTCTGTTCCTGTGAGAAGCAGAGACTGGGCCTTGCAGACTATAGAAAACTATTGTAAGAGGCAGAGACGTTATATATTTGCAGGGTTTAGAACACGGATGCCAATCTGTTTTAAAGGGAAGCTGAAGTCAAACAACTAAATACACAACTGAAAACTATAAGGTGTATAGAAACTGTTTACCTTCCTGGTGAATTGTAAAGGAGCTCATATACTATTTTGATATTGCGGTGCTATATAGTAATAACAGGGAGAAAATGTATTACAGAGTACAGAGCCTTCTTTTTGTAAATTGGAATACTCATAAACATGACTACACTGTTGGCGCCTACCCTGAGCTCTTCCCTTTTTTACCCTGATTTCAGCTATTATCTGGTTTGCGACATGTCAATATGAAGACAGATTTCAGGTAATTATACTAGCTTACATGAAGGACAAAACTGTTTTGTAACTATGTAAGGAATACTAAAATTAACAAAAGGGGATTTTACATCTTTGAGTTATTTAAAGCTGAACCCCAGGCTTAAAAAACAAGTGAAATGCATATATGGGAGTGGTTTTCCCTGCCAAATTATTATTTTTTCCATCCAATCCGGAGATTTGCACAGTTTTACGCAGCACAGCCCTGATTTATTTGTTGCTAAGTAACTGTTGCAGTTTTTATCGACGCCCCCCCAACGTGTGACTGGACAGTGTAAGGAGAACCAGCAGACTGATGAACTCATATATCTGTCACTCTGCTCTCTCTTTCTATCAGCACATCCTTTGTTAGCATATGAGCACTGAAGCACAGCTGTCTCTTTGTGCTGCTTCTCCCTCTCCCAGTTTTAGCTCTGCTGTAGAGATTGCAAGAGACTGATGCCAAGTCAAATGTGGGTACTTATAATGCTTACATGTAAAAGAGAAATTTAGTCAAAAGCCAACTGGACAAAGATTTATATCTGCTTTGAGTTGAGCTTTAAACTCCGCCATACCATTGGTGCACAGTTTCTTTCATAGCTAAGTAATCTGAAAATAGATAAAGCTTAGTGCACCTGACAATCCTGGTCTTCTGAAGACTAATTCAAGAACCCTATTTGGAGTGATGATCTAAAGGTTGAGCACCCCTGGTATGTAACTCCGTGGATGACAAATGTTCATTTTCAGAGATATGAAAACCTGTCTATGAACATTTTCTATGAATTCATTTATTACATCTTAAACTGTGAATTGTGTACAGACAGACAGGCTTTTCACAAGCACTAATATTTTATTGTGATTGTGTGCTGGGAAAACTTCACAAAAGCACAAGATGTCTACATAGATAATCCTTCTATACAGTAAAGCTCCCTTGGAAGTTACATTAGGTTTCCTGAATATGGAATGTCATGTGCATGTAGAGGGTAGTAGAACACCCCAGTGTTCACAGTGTGTCTGCTTTTTGTATGTGCATCTATGGTGACAGTATGTGTTCTTAATAAGAACTTGACTTTCCCATGGCCACTAATCAAATAAACACTTTGAGGTGGGATAGAATCTGATTGGTGGGTAAGATGAAATAATTCTTGGTCAACACACATTGACACACGAGGCCTTACTCCTTCATGCAAGCATTAGAACACAATGAAGGGAATTTATCAAAACTGGAGCAGACAAAATCTGGAGCAATTGCTCGTGGCAACCAATCAGCTTCTCTTTTCAGTTTGTTCAGTTAAGATTTGAAAATAAAAGAGAGAAGCTGATTGGTTGCCATGCACAGTTGCTCCAGATTTTTTCTGCTCCATTTTTGATAAATTCCCCCCAATGTCTTCAAAACCTGTAGGATGCAAAATGTTCTTAAGCTATAAGGATTCCATTCCTTGTTGGTTACAGAATGTTCTTGCAGAGAAGTGTACACATCATACTGTTGAATATTTATATGGACTGGGTAGAAGGTTTCATGACACCTTTTGGCTCTTTCTGATCTTTTGAAGAGGCAATTTTATTGCAGGATAGTCATTGTTCATTTAAGCCTCAGTGACCATATTTCTTGCAGGTTATATAATGTTCCTAAACTGCAGAGGTTTTGCCTTATGTTAAATACACTGACAAGAGTCGGAGGCTTGGTTCTGCGCCTCACAGGCTATAGAACTTACCACTAAGGGAAAAAAACAAAAAAACATCCATTTTGCATGTCATCTACGGTAAATATTCTAATGCTACAATTTAAATAGTGTATATTTGCAAAAAAACTGTATCAGTATTATTGTTCATAATAGCCGAGGTAAGGTGTTAACATATTAAATTATGTAAGCTTCCCTACTTACCTCTGTACTTTATAGAATTTCTGTAATTTATAAGTCATTCCGGGAAAGATGACTCAAGTTGTATAAATAGTAGCAATTCCTCAAGTTACAACACAACTGAACATTTTATTTTTTTAAAGTAATTATATTGGCGTAGTTAATGTATCTGGATATCAGTCAAAAGTCTTTTATATTCATATTGAAATTACAATGACAATGAGATTGGAGGTGTTGTACTTATCAAAACATTTTTTCTTTCTGGTGGATACATTAACAAAAAGTTTATTTCTAGTTGTCATGATAACAACTTATTTTTTTATACAACAGCCCCAGGCCAC